AGGTCAGGGGTCGGTCAAATGGTGCTGACTGGTTTCCTTTAGCCGCCGAATCTCTGGACCTGGGTGCCACAAATCGACCCCCGAATCTCGACCCTCGCCCGCCAGAGGGTGTACGGCCCATGCCTCCGGCCGCTGGCGGCCGTCCGGGGCGACGCGTTCTTCCTGGAGCACTCTCGGCGAGGCGCAGCTGTTGCGGAGCATCCCGAGGCGTGAACATCGCCAGGGGGGTCAGTGGACTTGATGCAATAGACAAGCGCGTTCCACTACTCGCAAAGTAACTACTCGCAGACGGCTTGAATCCGCCGCGGGAGATTCACGATCCATTACGTAAGCAAAGACACTTTTGCTGCCGTTTGCGAGTACGCACTCTGCGAGTAGTGGAACGCGCTCGGTGATGAAAGAAAACGGAGGCATGACATCTGGGAGACTCCATGGTCCCACCCATGATACCGGTACCCCCTAGTCCCGGGAACACGCTAACATGAATTATGGATCCGTGGACTTGGAGCCTGGGTTCCAGATTCACTGATCCGGAAAGGCGCCCCCCAACACATTAGGCCAGCGTCGCCTGAGTTCGCGACGGGGCGCGCCAGTTCTGCACGGAAGCGGGACCCGTCGCGCGCCTTAATTCATGTTTGCGTTTCCTTTCCTCCGTTCGGGCGCGCGCAAGCGGTTCACAACACGGACTGGGTAGCAGGTTCAACGAAAAACACTGAACACCAAGGGCTTAGTCACCTATCTGGGCCGACTGGTTATCGCGTCGTCGCGTCCATGGTCCATGAAATCCAAAGGCATGGCGGAAACGCCACACATGGGAGCGCACACATCGATCAGCAACACACTGGGCCGCAAATCTGGGGGAACACATGGGGAACCCCATACTTCGTTGCTGGTTTGCGCTGGCTGGTCAGCACGTCTATGACCCAGAATCGGACCAAGGACAGAAAAGCATAGAACATGGGCCCCTACACCAGCAAAAAGACCCAAGCACATAAGGTCACCGAGGGTCCCATCCGAGGAGTCACCCGACCCTGGCCTGCCGAGGAAATCACTGTGAGCCTGGGAAAGCATGGCCTGGAACCGCAGCCTTGCCAGAACGAGCGGCCAAAGCTGTCAAACTGAAGAGAACACTCGGATTTCATAAGGAAACGGAGGCGGTTTGTTTCGGGGCAGGGGATCTGCTTGGAGCTGTCTTGGAGGGAAGTCTGGACACAAGGCCGCCCTGTCATGGCCTGTTGCTGGTTAAGGGGGGTCTAGAATTGCCCGTTTGGGAGGGTTGCGGTGCTCTTTTCGGGTCCTGAAGGCCCCCTTTATGGAGCCCTCGAGGGCGCTTTCACTGGCCATGAGGGCCCCTTGTCGGCAGACCTCGTTGCCACCCCCCTCTTACCGTCCCCCCCCCCGTTACGCGCCCTCCAAGCGCCACCAGACTCGGCCGCGCCGTCCCCGCTCTCGCGCGCGCGCGCACCAGGGCTGTACAATGGCGCGCGGCGGCGGCGCAGAGCTGGAGAGCTGGAGAGGCGGCTGCCCGCGGGGCGAGGGCCCTGGGCCGCGTTGGCGGGGGCGGCGGCCCTCCTGCCGCAGGTCGAGGAGAGACTTATCCCTCGCATGCTCCTCCTCCTCCTCCTCCTCCTCCTCCTCCTCCTCCTCCTCCTCCTCCTCCTCCTCCTCCTCACATCCTCCTCTCTGCGTCGTCCTCATCCGTTCCTTTCCTCCTCATCCTGGTCACCTCCTCCGTCTCTCCTCCTCGCCTCCTTCCTCCGCTTCCCTACCTCCTCCCTCCCTCCCTCCTCCCACCCGTGTAACTAAATATCCACGCTTCTCCATTCTCCATCATCGTACTTTCGGTATTCCCCTTCTCCTCCAACTCATCCTCTCCTTCTCGTCATGTTCCTCGTCCTCCCGCACCGCTCGCACCTCCATTCCTACATTTATCCCCCTCCCGAAACTAGCTCGGGACACCGAAGCGGAGGAGGTTGAGGGGAAAGGGCAAAACAAATAGACAAAAGGACGGAAGACGCCGCGGATGAAGCTAGAAGAATAACGCACTGACTGCATACACATATTCATCCGGAGGTCCGCGCGGATTTGTGGGGTCCGCGCTGGGCATCCCCTGGCGGCAGCCCCTGGCGCGGGAAACGCGGAGTGCGGGGGGGGGGATCCAGCGCCGACCCAGGAGATCCGCGCGGTCCTCCGAAGATGCATCAGCAATAACCGTCCTTTCCTCGAGGCCGCTCCGCTGAAGCGAATCTCCACTGCAGCACTGGCGCTGGAACAAAAAAACAAATATTCCACGAACTACACAGCCGGAGACGGGAAAACATCCTTCAAAGACGCGAGACCCTCCACCTGCCAAAATTGAAGAACATGCGAGGGCGCCCTTCCCCAGGATAGAGGGCGGCAACCCTCGCGCCACCCTTTTGTGCGCGACGTGCCCTTCCACCCCCGCGCACACAGACACAGACACAGACACACTCGCACATACACACAGACACACACAGGCAGGCACAGACGCACACACACACACACACACGGACGCGCACCGACACAGACACAGACACAGACACAGACACAGACACACACACACAGACACAGACACAGACACAGACACAGACACAGACACAGACACAGACACAGACACAGACACAGACACAGACACAGACACAGACACAGACACACACACACACACACACACACACGCACACACACAGGCACGCAGACACACGCGCAAGCACACGCAGACACACACGCTGACACAGACACGACACAGACACAGACACAGACACAGACACAGACACAAACACAGACACAGACACAGAAACAAACACAGACACAGGCACACACACACACACACACACACGCACACGCACACACACACACACACACTTACACACACACACACACGCACACGCACGCACGCACGCACGCACACATACACACGCATGCACACGCACACGCACACGCACACGCACACGCAAATGCACACGCACAGCCACGCACACACGCACACACACACACATGGCGGCGCGCAGAAAGGGGTAGTGATGTGGGGAAGACTTAGTTAAACAAAAACTGATCCTTAGAATGCGCCCGCGCACTCTAAGAATCAAGAGTGCTTCTACTTAAGAACCCCACCTCCGTCCCCCTACCCCCTTCTGCGGGTCGCCGACATTTTTGGAACATCGCAAGTCGGATGGAGCATTCCAAACGCGCGCTCAGTCAGTCCGGACAACGCAAAGCGCAAACCAACTGGCGGCAGGAGGGAAAGACAGGCGACCGCGGCCGTGAAGGGGGGAGGGACGGGAAGGCACTCCCATGGCGAGGTGCGTCGCCGGGGGACGGCCGGGGCGGCCAGCCGATGCTGCACACCTGGCAGCGGGCGCAGGGCGGCGCCGCCGACACACACACACAGGCACACACACACACAAGCGCACACACACACACACACAGGCACACACACACACACACAACCACACACACAGGCACCCACACACACACACACACACACACACACACACACCTTCATTGTCTCGGTTGTGCGGCGCCCTCTCCTCCCCCACGGTGCCCTCTGGCGCCCTCTGCTCCCGAGGGGCGGCCTCTGCGCCCGCGGCGCCCCCTGCTCCCTGGCTCTCCGTGCCCCCTTTGTGGCGCCCCCTCCTGGTCCCGTGGCGCCCTCTTCTGCCGTGGCGTCTCCTCAACTCCTCTGGCGCCCCCTCCTTCCCTGCTGCCCTCTCCTCCCGTGGCGCCCTCTGCTCCCGTGGCGACCTCTCCTCCCAAGGCGAAGCCAGAACGAGGAGGAAGCGACGCCAGGACGTGGATGACATCGGGTGAGCACAAGCCGAAAATCTCTGAGGTCTGGTGGCTCGGGAGAACGTCTCGGGCGCCACGGCCTCCTCAGAGCGTTCCAGAACGACCTCTAGAGAGCGCACTGGAACGCTCTGGAACGGATTCATCCTCGTCCTAATTAGCCCCGTCCGACCCGTGGCGCCCTCTGCTCCCTCTCTGGGGAAACCAAAACGTACCGATACCCATGCTCCCCGGACCTCTCCGGGGGCGCTTTCTGACCAGGATGTCGAGGCGAACCCAGCGGTGGCGACGAGGGCTCCCCAGGAGGCCCAAGAGGGGGAGAACGAGGCAAGGGTACCGGTATGGGTACCCCGAGTTTCTTAATAAGCGTCGGGGGGGCGTCACCCCCGCCGACAGCCCCACATCGACCCCCGTCGCGGGCAGCCACCGCGCGCCGAAGGCGCTCCGACATCCGTCGCGGCGCGATGACGAGACGAGCTTGACCCACGTCGGGGGGGTCCCCCCCCACGCTAATTAGTACATCTTCCTCCTCCGAGTTCCGAATTTGGTCCTGCTTCTCCTATCCAAGAGATGGACGCACGCGTCCGAAGGCTTCGGCAGGCCGAACTGATGACCAACACTGGTGCGGCAGGCTCGTGCCGTGGCGGCTGCTGGGTCGGCTTCTGACGCCGCGTGCACCCTCCGATCTCGAAGGCACGAGGCTCTCCAATCCTCGGGCGGGTGGTAATGTCGGCTACACGCAAGAATGACCCTAGGCAAGAGAGACCTTCGATGCGCGGCTTGAGGGGGGGGGGGCGCGGCGGGGCGAGAGGGCCAACACCCAGCGCGCAAGCAGACAGTACCGCTTCGCGCTCGGCGACCGGACGACCCCCTTGGGCCCGCACCGAAGGCCACTCCAGCGACAGGTCGTTCTGACGTCTGGCCGATCATGGGGGGGGATCTGAGATGGGGGGACTCTCTTCCCCCGTTCTCCGCCGCCCTCGTCCGCCTTTCCTCCCCTGGGCCGGTGCCGCTCCTTGGCGGTGCGCACAAGGGGGTGGAGAGAGGGGGGAGGGCTTCTCAGAAGGAGGCTGCTTCTTAGGAGGCGCCGACCCTACATCTATAGACAAGGCCCGCGCCTTCTAAGAACCCGGGGTGTTTCTAAGAAGCCATCTCCCCTCCCCCCACCCCCCTCTGCGCGTGGCTGAGCTCCCGGCTCACCAAGCACAGCCGGCCCAATGCAGCGCCGCGGCCAGCAGCACGGCCGCGAGGGCCATGAGCACCCCGCTGGAGGCGCCGCCTGCGGCTCGAGCCCCTCGCCCCTCCAGCTCCTCCTGGCTCCTCCTATCTCCTGTCTACTCCCTCCTCCCTCTTCCTTGTCCTCCGCCTTCTCGTCTCCCGCTCCTCCTCCTCCTTCTCGTATCCAGCTCCTCCTCCTCCTCCGCCCCCGCCTCCTCCTCCTCCTCATCCTTCTCGTATCCAGCTCCTCCTCCTCCTCCGCCTCCGCCTCCTCCTCCTCCTCCTCCTCCTCCTCCTCTTCTCCTCATCCTCCCTCCCTCCCCCCTCTCCCTCCTACCTCCATCCTCCTCGATCCTCGTCCTCCCTCCCTCCGTCCATCCTCCTTCCTCCCTCGGTTTCGTCCTCGTCCTCGTCCTCCTCTATTCTTTTTCCTTATACATAACTTCTCCCTGTCGCACCCCGAGGCACATGTTTAAGGCGGGCAGGGCGTTTCGCCTGAGACTTCTTCACCATTTACGACTCTGAAACTCAAAATTTGGCAACAGTTTCACATATGGAAGGCGGGTGGTTTTCAACATGTGGCTCTCGCCTTAGCGCCGCGCGCAGTCGTTCTAAAATTGCAAGGCTTCACGGATTGAGGATCACCCGTTTTCAAACTGTTGCTCTCGCCTTAGCGCCGTGCACATTCGTACTAAAGATTTGCAAGAGTTTCACGGATTGAGATCACCCGTTTTCAAAATGTGGCTCTCGCCTTAGCTCCGCGCACATTCGTTAATACAATGTGCAAGAGTCTCCCGGATTCCCACGATCAACGTACCCGAAATTGTGTTTTGGATGGATTCAGGATTTTGCGGGTGCAAAAATTACGTTGATTCGCAGCGTTGAAATCCCAAGAGTGGGTTTCTGGAACGATCCAACATCGTCAAAACGCAACAATCAGGTTGATCCGTGGCGTTGGAATCCCGAGAACAATGTTTTGGCATGCTTCCGGGTCTTCAAACGGTTTTCTTCCAACGAGGCAAATCCCTCAATGGAAAATGAACCGTTGTAGGGGCCTATGAAGAGGGAGCTTGGAGGGAGGGTGTATTCCAACATCGTTGATGGCTCTTGGTTTTACACTGGTCCTCCTCCTCCTCCTCCTCCTCCTCCCTGCTCCCTTCTCCTCCTCCTCCCTGCTCCCTTCCTCCTCCTCCTCCTCCTCCTCCTCCTCCACCTTCTCCTCCTCCTCCTCCTCTTCCTCCTCCCCTTCCTCCCTCATTCCTCCCTCCTCCGCCCTCATGCCTCCCTCCTGTCTCCTCCCCTCCATCCTCCTTCCCTCCTCCCTCTGTCCTCCCTCCCTCCTCGCCCCTTGCTGCCGCATGATCCGCGAGGAGCGCGGCTGCCCCCGCGCAGCCTCCCCCACCCCTCCTATCGCACGTGCGTTTCTGGTCTCCAGGGCCCCGTGAAGATCGGGGGCGTCCAGGGAGGGGGTCCGCAAACCATGGCCAGAGGCATGGGGCGGTCGAGGGGGGGACGAGGGGGCGCCATTGAAAGGAGAGGGGGCCATGAACTCTTTCGACGTCCCCGAGAGGAAGAAAGGGTTTGGACGCCCAGAGCGGGCACGGAACAACTGTGCACGACGCCCACCAGCGAATGTAGCTCAAAACCAACAGCGGCCGCTGCTGGGCAGGCGGCGCCCTGTCTCAAATGGACAACGCCCGCAGCGACGCCGACAACGATCGCTGCTCGAAGTGGAAGGATGCGCTGCTGGTCTTCGTCACCATTGTTTGATGGGCCTGTCTTCCACCACCACCACCACCAGTTGGATGGGGGAAGGAGGATGAGGAGAGAACGAAGAGCAGGAGGAGGTGGCGGAGGAGAAGGACCACGTCCTCCTCCAACGTAAGGTGGTGGTGGTGGTGGAAAACAAACCCATCATTCTTTTCGTACCCATTCTGATCGTACTGGAGGAGGGACGAAGAGAAGAGAGGGGATGGGATGGGTGCGGCCTGAAGAACCGGCGGCCGTGGCATCGCGCCGAGGCCCTCGATGCGTTCGTCCCTGGCCTCCAGCAGCCCCACCAGGGCCAGCCGGTGGCCAAGAACGGCGGGCAGGAGGGCTTCGGAGAGAGGAGAGGGCGGAGGAGGCGAAGGCGACGAGTGGAGGGGAGGGGCAGGGAGGGGGGAGGGAGTGGCATTGAGGGGACTCTAGGATTCTAGGTTGGCCTCTCGCGAGCCCGCGTAGGGACACGAGGTCCAGGAAAACGGGAACACCGGCAGCCACGGTGAAAGGGGGGGGAAGAGGAGAAGGCGGAGCGGCAGCGGGAGGAGCAGGAAGGGCCGTTCCGACCTGAGAGAGGCACGACCCCTACAGGGCCCCCCCGGAGAAGAAGGGCCCTGGAGAAAAGCGGCTCCAGAGAAGAAGGGGCCTGGTGCGGGGACCACAAATGTACGCCGCTGTCGGGCGGTCGTAAAGAAGGGAAAACATCATGCGCTCTTACGCGCCGACTGAGGCCGCAATTGCGCACCCGCGCCAAACATCAACCCTTTCGTCCATGCGTGCAGATAGGGGCCACATTCGGTCGAGAAGGCGTGCGGCCGCCCTGTCTGTGACCACCTGGGGGTGGATCGCTCCGCCTCCCCGAAGATGTTGTGCACCAGCCCGAAATAGACACCATCTGAACGTGACGTGCCTTGCGCATGTGCACGCACACCTGAACAGTGTTGTAAATACGGCGCACTGCCAGTGCGAACTGCAATGCGTTCCCGAACCCCCGACGTCATGATGTTTTCATGGTGTGACCCCCGGAGGTCTCGACCCATTCCCCGGGACCGGCTTTTCATCCCGAGTCCGTGTTTGACGGTCCCACGGGCCGGTAAGGGCCCCCAGAAGCCGAAACTGGCGAACAACCTCCTGTGAGGATCTTGTCATGACCCGTGGGGGCCTCGGCCCTGCGACCCCACGCCAAGGCAGCAACCCCGTCAGCAGGAAGGAGGGAAGCGGGTCCTGAGGGCAAGGGGCCCCTGGGATCGTCTCGCCGCAGGCGGGAACCCTGGGGCTACAGTCGGACTCGATTGGACAGGACACGCGAGAGGACACAAGACGCTTCCGAGGGCCACATTGCCACAGGAATGTAGGAAGCATGGGTCGCGAGACAGAGGACACAAGGGTACCCTTGATTTGGCAGGGTCGACCTGCTGGGCCGACTGTATCCGCAAGGACCGGCTCGGGATGCGGAGCTGGTGATCCGGGAGAGCCCCAGGGTCCAGGACCCCGTTCCCCCAGGGACCCCTCGGAGCAGCAGGAGCGGTCAGGGGAAGGCGGAGTTGGGGGAGAGGACTTCCCAAGGACTTTCCCAATCCGACCAGGTCAGAGCTGCAGGAGGACTTCAGAGAGTGGCCTCTGCCAGAGCTCGAGTGGGCGGGCGGGCCCCCCCTCTGCCAAAGCTCAAGTGGGTCACCCTATGTGAGCGGGCGGTCGTTCCTGACACGGAGCGGAGGAGAAGAGGGGGACGGCACAGGCGCAAGGAGTGTGTGGCCCGCGCCGAGGCGAGAGCGCCACACGGAACGCCGGGAGCAGAGAGCTGTCCGCGGACCACTCGCCAGCTGAGCGGCAGAGCCAAGAGCCACAGCCAGAGATTCGCCAAGGCGGCCACGGCTGTGGCAGGGAGGTCCAGAGCACCCCTCACGAGGCCCAGAGGTGGCCAAACCATTGGCGCGAAAACATGGGGGCACCCTCGGCCAAAATCACCTCACCTGAACATCCGATGTCTTGCTCCGGTCCATGGAAGTCCCGAGCTTTTCCTCAGGGCTGGTTTTTCACAGTGCAAGATGCAGCCAGAACGAGGATAAATCCAGGTGAGGATAACTCGAGACTCTCTGAGATCTGGCGGCTCTGGAGGATGTATCGGGCGCCGCGGCCTTCTCAATCTATCCTCGTCCTAGCCCCGTCCGATGGTGAGTCGTTTGTCGACGGTCCAGGGGACCAGGAAATGAGCCAAGAAACCGAAAGCGACGAAGAACCTGCATCTCGATGAGTTCAATACGCTGAATGTCTGGGTCTGGAACTCTGGCAACTGTCCAGAGACCCGCCAAACCGATGCAAAGTCTACTATGCTCTCCAGCATGCGCTGCCAATCTGGCCCCAAATGGTCTCATCGCCTTGTGCATGTCCTGTTCACCAGAAAGTGCGGCCTGTTCGGCTGTGTATTAGTTCTCTATCTGGTATTGTTTCCCTTCAAGTTTCGGAGAAGCTTTAGTTGTGTGTGTGTGTGTGTGTGTGTGTGGGGGGCGTGGCAAGGCCCGAAATGAAATCTGTACTTTTCATGCAAGTCGGGACCCACTTGTACGCCTTTTCTTTCGGGCCAGCGCTGATAGAACAGGCGGCGGAAGGGGGGGACAGGAGAGCCCAGAATCGAATCGATAAGTCGGAGCGACGATCAAAATGAATCGGACCAGTGGAAATCGGCAGCCAAGTCGCAAGAAGTCGAATTGGCGGAAACCAGCAGGCTATTAAAGCCTCCATTGAGAAACCGACATCCGCCATCCACATTGGAGTCCGAAGTCGAATCTAATCGGAATTGGCATCGATCGAAATCGACTCGAATCGAGACGGAGGCGTCGATGGGGGGGACATGCCATGCGAGCGCAAGGAAACTTGAATCAACAGCCGCGCTCCGTCTACCGTGCAGCTGGGGCGGTTTGCGGCCATGGGCGCCCAAAGATCCGCGGCCGAGCCCGCCCGCGGGCCCCTGCAGGGGCCCGCCGGAGGTCTCTGCGGGGGCCGGGCCAGAAGTCCGAAGTCGAGGTCAGGGCCGTGCGCGCGAGGACGACCCGGACAACTACCATGCTCCAGTCCAAAAAATTCCCCGGACAGCCCCGCGGACAACCCAGACAGCCCATGCTGATCAATGATGACAAGACGGCCTGGCTCGGACAATCCCTGGGACAATCCAACGGGGATCCGGACAACCCCACTGGACAACCCCCCTTGGACAAGCCTTCCTGGGAGTAGCGTTCCACAACATTCAAGACGGCTTGGGCGTTGCTTGATAGGGGGCGATAAATGGAGGGTTGGGGGGGGAGAAAGGTACACTCTTCGGACCCTAAAGGTTCCCTCTTGGGCCCTCAAGCGCCCTCGAGGGGCCGTGAAGGGCCCCTTTTCTGTAGCCCTCGCTGGCCACCCATTCATCGCCCCCCCATTACGCGACGCCCCACTTCGCCTCTGGAGGCCACTTCTGGGCCCGGGAGGTTGCCAACAATGAGACCGATCGGGATGACAACTCAGACCCAGGGAAGCGGTCGAAACGTCGGAGGCCCGTGTCTCGAAAAGCATCAGGCCGCTGCATGTCTGGGGAGTCCGCTCATTTGGGGACCACATGCGAACCCTACCCCTACCCCCACGATTTCTGAGGGGGAGGGTGGGGTTCACCTCGTTCGGGAACTCCCGAGAGAAGTGAACCCCCTCAGAAATCGTGGGGGGTACCGGGTACGGGTAAGGTTCGCATGTGGCCTCCTAGTTCAGGGTGCAGGCAGTGACAGTCCGCAAGGTGCTACAAACTACAAACATGGTATACAGGTGCACGCGCGTGCCACGGTCGCTGCGACGGCCTGCGCGTCTGACTCAAAGCCGTGCTGCGCCTCCTGGGGCCCAAGAGAGCTCGGCCCTCGAGCTCTTCTTTTGCTTGCACCCGCTGCATCCAGTCGGCGACGCGCCCAGCTCCGCGCCGTCGCCCGGCGCGGTCTGAGGGCCGCGCAAGTGGGGTCCGAGCAGATGGTGGAGTGAGGTGGCTCGCGCCGCATCGCCGACGCATCGCCTCGGCTACGTCGGCGAGGAGTCGGCGACGTCAGCGTGGAGAGAAGACGGGCTCCACATCGAGCCGCGTCGCCGATGCGGCGCGATCCGCCGACCCCCATCGCACTTCGACCCCGCTTGGGCGACGCGGAGGGGCCGCGCCGCCCCCCGAGCCGCGCCCGCGGGCCGCGGCGGCGGCCAAGCGAGAGCGCCAGGCGAGGGCGCCGGCGGCCGAGACGGCGGCCATGGCCAACCCCAAGACGGCCGCGCCGCCCGGCGCCGCTGCCCCAGCTGCGGCGGGCGCCGGCGGCGACGGCGGCGCCGCAGCGTCCGCGCCGGCGCCCCAGAGCGCCGCGGGGCTGCCCTCGCCGCGGGCGAACTGCAGGACGAGCTCCGAGAACTCGCGGGCCGCGGCGGGGTCCCTGAGGTGCGCCGCGTGGGGCGCCCCCTCGAGGACGACCAGCCGAGAGGCCGGGAACGCCCGCTCGTGGCGGCCAGGTCCGCGACCCTTGAGCGCGGGGTCCTTGCTTCCGTAGATGACCAGCATCGGTGGGCCCATGCCCATCCCCAGTCGTTGGAAAGTCTTGGGCCTGGCTGTCCGACCTGTCCCCCTGAGTGGGGACAGATGTCTTCTCCCCTCCCCGTCGCAAAGATCGCCGGAAGCAGTGTTTTTCGTGGTTTGTTTTCGTTGTCCCTCGTTTTGTCTTCAATCCGCCTTTGCTGCAAAACGAAATCGAAACGAATAACGGCCCACGAAATCGCCAAAACGCCGTTTAGGTCGACCCCTGGCCCGTCGGGCTTCGACGCATCAGTCACCACCGTCGGGTGTCGCGGCCGGTGGCGGTAAGTGAGTCTGAACCCACTGGGGTGGGGATGCGCCTGAGGATGCTGCGATGAGCAGGGCGGGGGTGCTCAGCTTCGTGTCCAGGTCGAGCGCGTCCGCCACCCCGGCCACGGCTACGTAGCCCGCCGCGGACCGACCCCCGCTGTGCAGCACAAAGGGGAGGCCGAAGTGGCCGCCCATCGAGGCGGTGACGACGAGCACCCTCGAGCCCGCAGCCGCTGGACGGGCGACGCCGAGGAAGGCCCGCAGGAACCCGCCCCTGGTCGGCCACACGCAAGGAAGACCCCGGGGCACGAGTGGCCCGTCGGCGAGCGGCCTGCCGTTCGCTGCGCGCGATGCGGCAGCAGCGCCCTGCGTGCTTGGGCTCTCCCCATCCCCCTCCCCCACCTCTCTGCGCTCCCCGAGCATCGCGCACCGAGAACCAGGGGTCGCTCCGGCGAAGGGTCGCTCGGCTTTCGGTGCACAGCTCGGGCCTTCCGCGGCTCCTCGGGACAAATCGCCACCCCCCCCCTCCCCCAGGAACGCCCTCGGCGAGGCGGAACTGCTGGAACGCATCCCGAAAGAGGACACCCCCAGGAATCGACGAACACGTCCGCGACGAGGGCCGACGAGGGTCTGGCCAGCGCCCGCGACCCGTGACAGCAGCGCACAAGAGATATTCTGGCCGATAACGCTCGTTACCCGGGGGGGGGGGGGGGGGTCGTGCCCCTCGGGTAACGGTAACGCTTGGGCTGGGCGGGGTATGGCGAGGCAGGGGCGCTCTGCGATCGCCATAGTATGCGCGCGAGCAGCACTCTCTGCCTGAGAGCACCACAGTGGCTTGCGATTCGAGTACAAGCGCAAAGCCCGCCGCGTGGTCCCGGCACCACGCCCGCGCCCGCGCGCGCGACGACGATGATCGACGAGCGACGAGCGACGAGGTCGACGACGACGACGACGACGTTTGCCGCCTGTTTCGGCCTCCGGAGGCCGTTTTCGAGCGCCGTCGACGACGTGCGCCTGCGACCACCACACCACAGTGCGCATGCCTTCGGGCACCAGCATGTTGGAGGGGAAGACCGAGACCCCCCCCGCGTACGAGCGGTACCGTTACGGGGGGGGGGGGGGGGAGAGGCCCGGGTAACGAGCGTTACCCCCCAGAGGATAAAAAAACAATCTCCAAGAGGTCACTCCGGCGAGTGGCCACTCTTGACCCTGGAAGGTCTTCAGAACCCCTCTCCCAATAGGGGGTGACTAATCATTTGTTCGGTGGCCTTCTTCAAGGACTGGGGTCCCACCAATGAGGGGTAACTCATGATCTTTGTTCCGCGGCACCCCCAGGCGCAACAACGGAGGAGGAAGCTCACTGTCGATCTCCCAATGGATCTCACTATCGATCTTACAATCGATCTGGTGATCGCACGAGCGAGTCGTATCGATCGCACGATCGATCTTACAATCGATCTCACAATCGTAGAGATCGCACGAGCGATTTAACGATATCACTGAATCGACTTCACTCTCGGTCTCATGATTAACTATCGTCTTCACTATCGATCCCGCTATCGATCTCACTGTCGATCTCACAATCGATCTCAATATCCATTATCATTCATTTTCAAAACATCCACTGATTGTTTTTCTCTGGTGTGATTGAAAGACTTGGCGAAAATTCGCCGCCGATTTCGGTAGGCGGCCGGGTTCCCGGGTCTCCGGTTCTGGGTTCCAGGAGGTTCCTGGTTCTGGGTTTCGGGTTCCCGTTTCCGGGTTCCGGATTGGTCTCGGTGGGCGGCTGGGTTTCCGGGTTCCTGGTTAATGCCAGAGTTCGCCACACATTTCTGTATAGATACACATGTGTATGCATACATGTATATACAAATACTTGCACACACACACGTACATATATATATATATATGTACACATGTGTGTATGTATGTCTGTATGTATGATACGCACATACAATATCATAGAGAGGGTGAGGGATGGATACGGGGTGAACGTGTATACTTGTACATGCGTATACTTACATGTGTGCACGGCACTTACACCTATACATGTATGCATGCATACGTATATACACAGATCAACCCATCCACGGGTTGGGGTCGTTCTGTGGTGCAGTTTGCATGTCTGCTTCAATCCGCGGCCCCAGAGGTCCATGCCGCTCCCCCAGGGGTGTGTTCCCAGCCTGGATCCATGCTCTGTGGCCGCGGGGCCCGAACGCGGCCCCCGAGGGCCGAAATCTGGGAACGCCTACCCGATTGAACAACTCATCTCGTCGGAGATCTCCGAGGAGAAGCGGGGACCACCGCCGCCAAAAAAAACAGCTCGGGGGAGGCCGACCCCCGGCCGCTGGCACGCCGCACGCCCGAACTCGGGGCGCCGCTGACCATGCTGCCGTCCAGGGGCTGGTCAGGAAGAAGCCAGGACGAGGATAACACCAGGTGAGGAGAGATCGGGAAACGCTGAGATCTAGCGGCTCTGGAAGATGTCTCGGGCGCCGCGGCCTTCTGAGAGCGTGCTGGAACGCTTTAAGAGCGTTCCGGAACGCCCTGGAACGGATTCCGGGGGCGCGCAAATATGGATTAGCGATCCATGGATTTGGCTTGCGGTCGGCAACTCCATGGATCGGGGGAGGTGCCCTCCCCTGATGCGGCAAGTGCCGCCTCGCTCGGCGGCGAAAATCCGCGATTTCCCAGGGAAACGGGACCCGTCGCTAATCCGCGCCCCCTTGTTCCATGTTCTGAGCATTTTCTTAGGGTGGAGGGCTTAAATTGAAATCCATATGGACTTTTCACATCGAAAACCAATCCGTCCTGTGATTCACCTTTTGTAGATTCAAGACTCAAGCCTCGCACATCGATCGACACGGCATTTCAGACTCCACCCTCTGCCCTCCACGCCAAGAAAATGCTCGGATGTTTGCGATTGCCTGAGGATTCATTCTCGTCCTGGCCCCGTCCGAGCGGTCCCCCCTGGTGATAGAGGCCTCCTACATGGGGTCGGAGTAGATGGGGTCGGAGGATCGCGCCGCATCGCCGATACATCGGCGATACATCGCCGATGCATCGGCGACATCGGCGATGCATCGGCGACGCCAGCGTGGAGAAAATCAGGCTCCACATCCTGCCGCATCGCCGATGCATCGACGATGCGACGCGATCCGCGATCCTGGAGGTGAGCTCTCGATCGGTGGCGGTGGCCCGCGCTTCTCCTCTGCAGCTTTCGGTGCCCGGCCTGGGCCCGTCGGCCGCGGAGCTGAGGCCGTGCCCAGGCAGGTCGGGGGCGAGCGCGCGGAACCCGGCGTCCGCCAGGCTGTCGAGCACACCTGCTGATGGGCCGATGTCCCATCACCACTACCATAGGTAGGAGGAGGAGGAGGAGGAGGAGGAGGAGGAGGAGGAGGAGGGGAAGGAGGAGAACCTATGGTAATGGTGGTGGAAAATTGGCTCATCACCTGCGCCCGGGGGGGGGGTTCTGTAACTTTCGGTTTCCTGGGGCCCTTCCCATGCCCCAGGAGCGTCAACCAACGAAACAAGATGAAGGCCGGCCCTGGGGAAATGGACGGGACTTCCGGAAATCCCGTATAGAAAGAACAACACGGCAAATGTATGGAGCCAATCGAAAAACTACCCGGACCAACCCTTCAGTCAACCCCAGCCCTCTGGCCAACCCTCCTGACCAGCCCTGGTTGGAGCAGTCCTTTCCACAAGTCAGAGCGCTGATGGAGACAACCCTTCAGAATCGAAATGGTAACTCGGATCGAATCGGAATGTGCGTCGGATCGGGCTGCATCGGCACGGACTCGGAAGCGAACCTGATCGGCTGCGCCATCGGAAGCGAACCTGATCGGCTGCGCCATGACGTGCATCAACACCATGCAAATCAGATCGTGCCGGCTGGAATCGGCATCACAAATCAAATTGATCGATCGGATCGACACCTGCACTGGCTGGGTCACCTACAGTCGCACTTCACTCGACGTGCGCGAAGTGGCAATATCTTCGAGCGCTCTCTCGAAACGCGGTGATATTTGCAGCACTCTGAATAGCCTGCGCAACGATTGGGCAGTATAGACAACGATACGGAGGTGGACGAAAATTATAAACTTGTGTACGCTTACGTTGTGCATGCTCCCCTAAGCCTGTGACCTGCCAGGTGTGGGCGGTGTAGGCGGCACCGTGGCAGAACACGACCACCCTGCCAGTCTCCGGCCCCGCCACCAAGTAATGGATCTGGCCGTAGGGTGGGGCCACAATGAAGCGTGATTTGACCTGGCCTCTGTCTTCGTATGCCGATTCGATCCTGGACTCAAGGTCGCGGGGCTTGTCGCCTAAACAATATGCCCATGTAGCGAAGCTGATTGCCGCGCGCAGACCTCTCATCCTGTAATCACAT